AAAAAAAAAAAAAAAAAAAAAAAAAAAAAAAAAAAAAAAAAAAAAAAAAAAATATATATATATATATATATATATATATCAGAAAACTAAAATTAATTTCAAACTGTAAGCATACATCATACTAAATCGTGGGATATATATTAATTGTCACGAACAAATTAAGTATTATTTTAAAAGGTTCATTTTTATGAACAGGATGAATTTTTTGACGGAAAAGTAAAATTTTCAAAATCCTTCGTTCCAGAGCGATCGGCAAGTTTCGTAACATAGTGACTGGTGAGAAACTGGAAATGATAAAATCAAGGCAAGTGTCTATTTATGGGATTTACTTTCTCCATTCTTTTCATTCCTTTTATAGTCATGTCAAGAGGATGTTGAAAATTACTATAGCTTGACAATTGTTCCAAGGGAAGCCTATTTAATATCTGAGAGGATATCATGCCTTCAACAGATTAAATTTTCATAAGAAAAATGCCGCATCCGTTGCTGCGAAAAGGACGATTGATTGAGCAGGCTGTTACACGTGCCCTTTCAGCAATAAAAATTTCACCAAATGAATCGGGGCTACGTGAAATCTCGCAGACTGTGCTTCGTAAATCAAGATTTGCATTCAAATTTGAGAGAGATAATTGCAACTTACGATGGTTTACATTATAAATTAGGATATCTCTCTCTAAAACCATCTTATGTTCTATCTTAAATTTTGTACGCGATTTAGAATCGTAGTTATCTTATAAATTGAGTCTACAAGCAAGTAGTCATCAGCATGTTTGATTTGCAAGCAACTAAGCCAGAGGACGGCAACTTACGATGGTTTACATTATAAATTAGGATATCTGTCTCTAAAACCATCTTATGTTCTATCTTACATTTTGTACGCGATTTAGAATCGTAGTTATCTTATAAATTGAGTCTACAAGCAAGTAGTTATCAGCTTGTTTGATTTCCAATCATTTAAAACATTGACCCAACGAAATCTGTACAACAAAATCTGTGTATAACAACAATTATATGCAACATGTACAAAAGGGTAATAATTTAAATCTGTTATTCTCCTTAAAAATGTAAAATAGAAAAAAATTAAAAATTTTATCTTTGTATCAATAATTTTTTTACTTATTCGAATAATGTGCATTGTTATGACTACTAATGTACCATTTCTTTTTTTTATTAAATTTACTGTTTTTTGTGGCAAACCTACGGATTAGATTAGAAAATATGATGATACAGGCCACATTCCTGTGAACGTCAATATTCCTGTACCGATTACTGTGGATTGCAGAACCGTAACTCTATATATCTCTCAATTCCAGGCACAAAATGGGATAAGAGGGCCTTAAAATTCAGAAAAAGGTTCAGCTCAAAAACTGACTCACCTGCACTGGTAAAAAACATTCCTCAAGCTACGCCAATCAGGCACGGCGGAGTCAGTTAACCATCTCTCTGTTCAGTTAAGCAAAATAAAATCGATGTATGGAAATCAATTAAAAGTTATTTGGCAATGCGGCGAAAGTAAATAAAAGTACTAATAAAAGAATAAGAAAATTTACACTTCAAATAAAAAACTATGAAACTGGGTTAACGAGTTGAACGAGTTAAGCAGTTGAAATTTGACGCAAGTGTAAAGCAGCAACATCACTGATACTTTTTCTCCTAAACTATGTTCTTTGTTGGAATACATTATAATAATAAAAGTATCCATCATCGATTACAAAACATCAAAAAAAAATAAATTCCCGTTCGGTTGAGTGGTTAAGAAGCGAAGTGAAAATATACCGCCTGACTGGTTTCTTATCTAAATTGAAGTAGTGTTGTGCTCACATGCTCTAGCATTGTCTTTGGATCATCATATAGTATGAATCTCAAACCTTCGCTAATAGTTCCGTAGGTGCAGTTCTATTAAAACGTTGACAATCAAACCAAATCAAATATCTTAACAGCGTTTTTTCAGCTTTTTCACGAAGAAAAATAAAAACAATGCTTTATTTGCTTTACACTTAAGGCAAAAGTAACGAAATCAAAAATTAAAAATTGATTTTGTTAGTTCTGCTAGTTTAAATTAATAAAATAGTGAAAATTAACAAAATCAATGATTATTTTTAAACTTTTGCAAGTATTTTCAAGGGCAGATATTGCCGTGTTTGAATAAAAATTTAAATATTAAAAAATTAAACCACAAACTCTTTTCATTCTCACATATCGGTGATTTTTTTCTTCATATTTACGCTTTGCGCCATTTTCACAGTCGTTTTGAGCCATTTTCAGAAGGCTCTGCCTAAAGGAAGGTTAATTTCAATCGAGCAATTATGAATAACTATGGCTAACTCGCAATAGTTGTTTAAATAATATATTACTGACAAAAAAGCGTTTTTTCCGTGCATTATACTTTGTCTTTTTTACTTTCCTTGTTCTTTTTTTGTATCATATATTGGAACATTAAACTTCCAACAATTCTTTAATTTCGAATATGTTTACATAGTAAGTTTTTACTTTCAGCTCAATATTTTATTGCAGCCGCCAGCTCTTTTACTATCAAACTTTGGAATTAATTTTCTACGCTATTTCTTGAATGAATCTATTTTATATTAAATCAGAGCAAGTTATGTTTGTAGCATTTAATTTCAAGTTTAAATGAAATTTTCGTCTTTAGTATATTTCGTCTATATTCTTTCAACAAAAACAGTTAATATTCGACTTTTAAATGATGTTTATTTGTGATTTAGAGTTGTATAAATTATTTCTTTATATATAGGAAGAGAGTGGAATGATAACACATAGCCAATCACAGAAGACTTCTGGTTAGTAACGCACAAAACAGCCAATCAAAATTGAGAACGTGACATGTATGTGAAAAGGTAATAATTTGTAATAATGCTGTCAAAAAATACAAAATACAAACTGACCTTATTCCAAAAAAAAAAAAAAAAAATGCACACTTGTTACTAAAGCTATAAAAAGACCAAGCGATTATTTATGCAAACGATTATATAAGATTATTATGAACTAAACTATATGCAAACTAAGGCTCCTATACTATCATATAAGACTCCTATAATTCAGGGGCTTTAATGCAAACGATTGTTTATGACGTCATTAGATAAAAGTGTCATTAACGCAATATTATCCAGTGTTTATTAATAATTTTGAGTGGCAATGTAAAAAAATAGCTGTTCTAAAGTTTTATAATAAAACTAGGAGGCTTCACCCCCTGCTCGCTGGCGTTCGCCAACCCCCGGAACTGCTTTCGCAGTACATTTCGGATTGCTTCGCAATCCGATACTCGCTTTGCTCGCTCATTGGATGCGTTCTTAACGTCTAGCTTTTGTATACTTTTTTGAACACTAAAGTTCCGAAAACTTTTCACTGTAGAAAAGTCTAAACCTGTGCATTTCAATATTAATTGCTTGCAAACAGTTCACATATTTTTCTTAATCACACTATTCTAAATTTCAGTTGTTGAGAAAAGTAACTGTTGTAAGTTTTGTTTTAAAGTCTTTCCCACCAGAGGGCTAAAACCATGTGTTGTACAACAATATGAAATAATACTGAGCGCCGGATGTAAAGCATCGGCTTCGATTAAGATAATTTTGTGAGAATTTTTTTCATAATTCAGTGAGAATTCACCCGATTAGACATATGATGCTCACTATGTGCTCTTGCGCACCGAAGCCTATCAATTAAAACGTATTAGCGTTTTATATAACATGGATTAGCCATATGATGCTCACTACGTGCTCTTGCGCGCCGAATCCAATCAATTAAAAATGAAAACTGTTGCCAGCTCGAGAAAATAAATATCATCGGCTTTATTGATGCATACATACATACGTATTAGCGTTTTATATAATATAGAAGATGTTTGTTTTGATAGTACTCAGTTATTTATTTTAGAATTCCAATATATTATAATAGCTTTGATAAATCAGGTAGAGATATTGAAAGCACGAATCAACACTCTCTCAAAAAACTACTTACATTCCAAATTATCAAAATATATTGAACAGAGTTTACTTTTAAATACTTATATCTTTTATAAGAAATGGATCGCCGTGAATATCTTAGGCGATATCAACAGCGGCATAGAGCTGAACATGATTTAGCTACACAAAATTAACTGGAAAATAATCGTAGAGCTATCAATACGCGACGGCGGAATGCGTGGCGAAGAAACGTTGAAAAGTCAAGACGTTTTAATGAAAATGAATACCTTGGTGTACTTACGAATACTTCTGATTGAAACTAAAATATTTTGTCAGTTGACAGTATTGAAGTTAATTGAGCAATTACTTGCAATGGTATTTGCTTTTGAAATATTACTTAGAATCAACTTATTAATATTACATGTTTTAATTTGTTTGTAATTTTTGTNTACATAGTAAGTTTTTACTTTCAGCTCAATGTTTTATTGTAGCCGCCAGCTCTTTTACTATCAAACTTTGGAATTAATTTTTTACGCTATTTCTTGAATGAATCTATTTTATATTAAATCAGAGCAAGTTATGTTCGTAGTATTTAATTTCAAGTTTAAATGAAATTTTCGTCTTTAGCAT